GGTATAGGCTTCCTAGGCGTGTGGCAGTTCCATCGAATTCAGCGGAGAGAGCAGCATACGCAGAACTGTGGCGGGGAGGATGGACAAATTAGTCGTCCCAAGAAGAGGGAGAGGATTCGGCCAGCGTTTCCAACAGGAAGTAGTACAATTGATACTTTTGCTCCACCTACAATCACGTGAGGCAAACAAACATAACTACATTTTTAACTATTATAATTTAATTAATAAGGCTTAAAAGTAAGCAGTATACAATTAAGGTAGACTTTTTTAAGGTTGCAGTCTCTAACGCGCGTGAGGGCTAGGGGAGGGTGTTTGTGCCACTATTTACGTGTCAGCGTAGCCTTAGAGCTTGCCCTGTACTACAACAACCTTTTAGACAACCTTATTATAGCAAAAGATAACAGTCCCTTGTATGGGGAACGTCTAGATTAGTGGCTCCAGGTTGGTCGGCGCGACTATCCTGTACTCTTCAAGATGGCACTTGATTTCCTATGTATACCCTCCACAAGCTGCGACTGCGAGAGAGCCTTTAGCGGGGGGAAAAGGATATTTACTTGTGACTGTAATTATCTCTTAGGCTCTACAATTAAAGCTTTACAACTCTAGAAAAACTAGCTACATTATAAGGTTGTTTTTAGTAAATTAAATAACCTTACGTGCTATATTAAGAGTAAGGGGGACCCTGCTACTCTAAAAGCTTTAACAGTTATGTTGTATGTTTGCAGTGGTAACACTCAGATGCGTCGTCACCATAGTCGCACGATAGTCGGATGTGTCGTCACACGATGATCATGCGTCGGCACCATAGTCGTATGCATCTCAGCACAGTCTGTTGCCACGACTCACCCACTTATTTCGCATATATATAGACTCCTGCAAAGGACTCCTCTAGCAATGAATACAATCCAGTTCCTCATGTCTTTGGTGCCCTCACATAGCTTCACAGTTATGAGCCCGGCAATCGCTTGCTAGTCAATCGAGCTGTTTTCAAACCTCTACCAGGGAGAGCTCCTTTGACAGCCTGCGTACAATTGTGACCTCTTTGTCACACTCTACCACCTCAAAGTCGCTCTTTTGCAGCACTTTAGGTATCTTTTAAGACCTTTTGGTCCAAAGAGGCGACTCAAAGTCTCTACTTCACCGGTCGCATCAATCGCGACCTCTACAATCTCCTGAGCACGCTACCAAAGCTCTCAGTCGAGCACATCAGGGACATTCGTCCACCTCAAGGACATACTCGTCCACCTCAGGTCCACATCAAGGACACATCAAGGACAACCAAGTCCACATCAAGGACAACTTCGTCCACCGCAAGGACATACTCGTCCACCTCAGGTCCACATCAAGGACACATCAAGGACAACCAAGTCCACATCAAGGACAACATCGTCCAACTCAAGGACAACCAGGTCCACATCAAGGACAACCCCGTCCACATCAAGGACACCTCAAGGACATATTCGTCCACCGCAACGACAACATCGTCCACATCAAGGACAACCTCGTCCACATCAAGGACA